AAGTCGCAACCCGGTGAGCAGAGCTTCGTACTCGGCCTCATTGTTGGTCGCTTTAAACCCGAACCGGAGAATACCATGAATTCGAGCCCCCTCGGGGCTTACAAGGAGAAGACCCGCACCAGCTCTTTTCCTGTTTGATGACCCGTCGACGTAGAGGTTCCAAGTCGACAGGTTCTGAATACTTTCTTGCGCGGCTTCACTAGGCTGTTGTTCGCTTGGGAGATAAGAAAATTTCGAAATGAAGTCGGCAACAGCCTGCTCTTTAATGGTCGACCTGGGCCTATACTTTAGGTCGAACTGACTCAATTCCATGGCCCATTTGAGGAGTTTACCCGAGGCTTCTGGTTTCTGAAGGACCTGCCTGAGGGGGTAATTTGTCATCACATTGATTGTATAGGCATGGAAGTAAGGTCGCAGCTTTCTGGACGCGACCAACAGAGCAAAAGCTAGTCGCTCCATTTCCGGATACCACATCTCGGCATCCAACAGACGCTTACTCGCATAGTATATTGGCCATTGAGCCTTTTCCTCTTCCCGTATTAAAGCTGCACTGACCGCGAACTGGGAGACGGACAGGTAGATGAGCAGGATTTCCTGTGGAAGAGGCTTAGAGAGGAGAGGTGGCTTCCCAATGTGTTCTTTTATACTCTGGAATGCCTGCTCGCATTTGAGAGTCTATTCGAACTTCTTATTGGCCTTCAGAACATTGAAGAATGGTAAACAGCGGTCTGTTAGCCTTGATATGAAGCGACTAAGTGCCGCTATCTGCCCGTTCAGACTCATGACCTGCTTTTTGCTGGTCGGGCTCTCCATATCGAGTAGAGCTTGAATCTTTTCGGGGTTCATTTCTATGCCCTGCTGATTGACCATATATCCCAGGAACTTTCCTGATGATACCCCGAATGAGCATTTAAGAGGGTTCAACTTCATTCTGTAGAGTCGGAGTATGTCAAACATCTCTGCGAGATGCGTAATATGTTCTGAGGTGACTTGGGATTTGACCAGCATGTCGTCCACATAGACCTCCATTGTCCTCCCGATCTGGTCGGAGAACATTCGATTGACCAACCTCTGATAGGTTGCACCCGCATTCTTGAGGCCGAAGGGCATGACTTTGTAACAGTATAGCCCCCGGTCCGTAATGAAGGTCGTATGCTCCTCATCTGGTCTATACATCAGGATTTGATTGTATCCCGAGTACGCATCCATAAAGCTTAACAGCTCGTGCCCCGAGGTGGCATCAACGAGCTGGTCGATTCTCGGCAGGGGGAAGCTGTCTTTCGGGCAAGCTTTGTTGAGGTCGCTGAAGTCTACGCAGGTCCGCCACTTGCCATTCGACTTCTTTACCAGGATCGGGTTGGCAACCCAGGTCGGGTAGAGAGCCTCACGAATGGATCCATTCCGGAAAAGGTTCTCCACTTCTGATTTTAGTGCAGCGTACCGCTTCGGATCCATCGCCCTTCTTTTTTGCCGAACTGGCTTGGCTTCACTGCTGACATTAAATGAATGGCAAATAATGTCCGGGCTGATCCCGACCATATCTGCGTGCGACCAGGCAAACACGTCAATGTTCTCCTTTAAGAAGCTTACCAGCTCGGAAGCGAGCTGTGGGTTGAGACAGCTTCCAATCCTTAACACTCAGCTCGGCTCTTTCGGATCGACCGAAACCTCAGACAGATCCTCAACCGGGTCGCTGGGGGGGATTTCTTGGATTCACGGATCTAGGTTATCCTCCGCTGGACCAGGCTGTGGCTCGATCCGGCTGATCGCCATAGCCTGGCGGGGCACACATCGCGAAATGCCCTTATCTGCCATCTGTACCGCTTTTACATAGCATTCGCGAGATGCGCTTTGCGATCCGCTTACTTCTCCGATCCCCGTTGGAGTGGGGAACTTCATCTTGAGGTGATAAATGGAAGTGACTGCCCTGAAGGTTCTCAGCAGAGGTCGCCCCAAGATTCCATTAAAGGCCGATGGGCAGTCCACGACCAAAAATTCAGTAACCCTAGTCACCTCGTCGTAGTCGCCGAGCGTGACTGGTAGCTGGATCGTCCCTTTGGGGATCAGGTGATCCCCTGTAAAACCGTACAGAGGCATCGAGGCTGGCTTCAGGTCGGCCTCAACTAGGTTCATTCTATCGAAAGCGGACTTGAACAGGATGTTCACAGCGCTTCCGTTGTCTACAAGCATTCTGCAGACATTATGACACCCTATCAAGGGCATGATCACCAGAGCATCCTCATGAGGATGGTGCAAGCGAGCTGCCTCCTTCTCGCAGAAGGTGATTGGTTCCTCCTTTCTGGCTTTTTGAGGTCGCTGCGAAGTGTTCATTACCCTGATCGGGTCGTGATGCGCTTCGCGAGCATACCTTTCCTGCCCTCCTCGCGTGTTTCCCGCAAGGTGCGGACCTCTGAAAATTATGTTCACATTGCTGTACCCGCTGCGATCACGATGCTTTTTCTTTTGCTCCCCTTGGTTTTCTTTTGGTGAGTCATCAATGTACTCCTTGAAGTGCCCTTTCTTGATGAGCTCTTCGATAGCCTGCTTTAGAGCTTGGCATTCATCAGTGTGATGCCCGTTATCCCGATGGTAACGGCAGTATTTTTTGCTGTTTCTGGCCGTAGCAGGAGTTTTCATTGGTTCGGGCTCACCGAGCAAGCTGGCCTCCTCAGATTTGTCGAGGATTGCAGATATGGACACGTTCAATGGAGTGTATTGAGTCCTATCGCGGTCGCGACGAGGAACAGAAGCATAGGATTTTTTCTGCTCGTAGCGAGGTTTCTTCCCTTTTCGCTGATCGTCAATGTCTCCTTTGCGATCAGCTCTCCTATTATCTCCCCGACCAGACATACTGCTGGAAGTGCCGTGATCGCGACGGCGGAGTGCCGCCAATGAATTCTCTATTCGGAGATACTTTTATGCCAGGTTGTAGAATCTGGTGAGGGAAATATCGTCCTCAGCCTGCAATTCTTTCCACAGGTCGGTTTGCGGGCGAACGCCAGCTATTATAAGTGTTCGGATGGACTCTTCTGGAGCGTGGGCCACCTTGTTGAGTTCCCTGTGGAATCGGTCAATGTAAGATTGTAGGGATTCGTCTCTTTCTTGCCTTATGTTGCTGAGTTAGCTTAAAGGCATCGAAAACTTTCGATTGGCTTGGAAATGCCGGAGGAACGTCGTGCTCATCTGAGGCCACGAACTGATCGATCCCGCCGGGAGCGACCTTAACCACCGCTTGGCGTGAGAAGTCAGCGTCACGGCCAAACAACGGCATTTTGCAAGGTCCGAAACCTGGTGGAGCTCCATCAGGTTGTTGAACTCATATAAGTGATCCTGAGGATCATAGTTCCCATCAAACGGCCGCATATCTAGCATTCTGAACCCTGGTGGAAGTGGAGCAGCTAGCACTTCGGGAGAAAAAGGGGATGTAGAGGCGACCTGCACCTGTTCGTTTTGCCGCTCCCTCAACCTGTCCAGAGCTCGCTGTAGCTCCTCAATTTGTGGTAACGGAGTCAATTGGGGATTGCTTTCACCCGTGCGAGTCCGGCCTTCTCGATTGTGGTTCAGGAAGGTCCGGAGGTCAGATTTCGCCTCGCCTCGCCTCGGCCAGCATTTCCAGCCGCACTCGACAAACGCTGACTAGAGGCGTGTGAAGGCGGTGGATCGTGCGGGGCATTTTCACTACCCTCGCGGTGGTACGAACCGCCCCGCGAGGTATGGGGGCCACCCGCATGATAACGATCGGGGTCGTTCTGCTGGTGGTGATAAGAATAATCGCGTCCAGCATTTTCACTTGGGTTTGCCTGCGACATGGCATGGGACAGCTCGGGATTCACTCTTTCGCCGAGTCTCAGCTTTGCCGATACCCTGCTCGGGGCACCTTTTGTGTTCGCTGGTCCTTGGGAGCCCGTAGGCTTACTTTTTGCCATTTGCTTACCCTTGTGCCTACGCGCTGCAGTGCTCGCGGCACGGGCTATTGCCCTTTGCCGTGCTTTCGCGCGACCTGCAGGCGTCTTTGGCGGTTGCACCGCCCTAGCTGTGGTAGATGACATGCCTTGGTCCAAACGGTCCAACCTTTGGTTGACCGTCTGGAGAGTATTGTCGAACCTCTCCAGGTAGTTCCTGATGGCAGGGTCAAGTTGTGGAGCTGCCGGGACATCCCCCGCAGCATTTTGTGAAACTGGAACTTCTTCAGTACGCTGATTAGCTTGCTCCGGCTCAGATTGGCAGGCCATTTGCTGTTGTAGGACCAGTAGGTCAAAGATTCTCCTGATGAAAGGTAGACACTAAATCAGGCCCTCCTTCTAGCGCCAAACTGTTGATGTGGGATTTTGGGCACCAACTAACCAATACGTGTGCAACGTTGATTGATCAAAAAGCACACGTGAAAATGAATATAAAAAGAGAAGTAAATGCTATGAGAGTTTTTAAAGTGGTTCGGATGCTAAGGTAGCAAATCCTACGTCCACTGATTTGTATTGATAATGATAGTGTGGGTCAGGTCGCAACAGCGGACTGACTTACAAGAGGTTTAGGAAAAAGTAAATGTGTTGTTTACAGGAGAGAGAGAGACTGATTTTTGTAAAAATGGTCGAATCCCCTTAATGAAGGAGTCTTCCTCTTCTTATATCAAGCTAAAGCGTGTAATCATCATTAAATCCTTGGGTTGGTGTGATTGTCAGGATATAATCCGGCTTTATGTCCCATCACCTTCTTCCCAAGCTGACTTCGCACGGTTTACAGCAGGGAAATAGACGCTTGGGAGCTCCATATCGTTTGGCAGGCCTGACGTGTGTTTGTTGTTCTGACGGGAGCAGGTCATTCTCCACGTGACCCTCCCACGTCAGCCCTTACTTTCCCAGGCATAACATTATACAATAAAGAAGTTTCTGAGTTGAGTGAAGGATCTTCAACCGTAAAAAATATCATTAACGATGGAGTATTGGGAATAATTCTGTTGATTTTGATACATATATTGGTGGATGGCCGAAGCATATTCATCATTAGAAACCTCTTGTCTCATCTTCAAGTTGTATTTGTTGTTGCACCATGGTGGTGGTGGGGGCGGTTCTACTTGTTGCCGGCGGTACTGCGAGTGGTAGTGGTTCAGAATCCACTTCTTGAACCTTACTCCTCTTCTTCTTCTTTTCAGAATCCACTTCTTGACACTTTCCCCTCTTGTTCTTCTTCAGAGCTGGTTCGCTCTTTCTTATACGGCAAACCACGTAATCGCTATGTTGATCTGGACCCATAAAAGACGAATCCAAACTATACTCGTGCATGATCCATCCACCGTGCTGATCGGGGTCTTTGTTTTCGTACCGAAATCTCTTCTTAGTCCCAATCCTCAAATTGTCATTTACTATTTCTCTACCGCCATCTTCTCCCTTCCATGTCCCTGTTCCAACACTACCATCGATTCTTGAACCTTTTGAAGTCTTTTTCTTCAATTGGGTGAAGAAGTATAAATCTTGATCATCACGTTCCTCTCCAAGCCGTTGTTTAAAGAAATTCCAAATCTGTCAGGGTTCTTCAGAACCATATAGATCATATTGGGGAATGGAATAATCAATACCAGGAATGGGTTTGTTCGCTATCTTGTTGCAAAGATAGAAACCCACCAATTCGCAGTCCGTGGGATCGAAGACGTAGCCAACGGGAGGAGAGAACTGAACTGCTTCCATAGTTTTCTTGTTATGCCAACTGAAAGAGAGAAGTTAACTACTTCCACGGTTAAAGCAACAAAAAATGATGGAAAGAAGTGGAGAGGTTTATCAGAGCAGGCGTTGGCGTTATTTATTAGCGAAGGGGTTTCCTAAAATCGGAGAAATCAGCTTCTAGTTTGGTTTCTTGTAACCCAGGTAACTTTAAAATTAAGAAAAGAAGATCCGTTATAGACCCCGCGGGAATTCATTAGGAATTAAAGAAAGTTCCGTTGGAGCCTACCGCGGGGGTTTTGAAAGTTAGTTACGCTAGGAGCTTCGGTTTGATTTATTAATTATAAGATTTTGGAGTTTTTCCTTTGCTAAAACCATTATTTTTGTTACTATGTGCTTCTGAAAAGCATATGAATTTCCAACAGAAGGAAGTTTCTTCTTTTCAATTTGAAATTTTTGTCTACCCTCCTTCGAATCTCTATAGCAGTTCCACAGGCTATTCAGTTAGCGTTACTGTACTTGTAGTTACAGATTTTACATACAAGTCTGAGCATTTTTCTCACAGATCCTCATTCCATGTCCATCATGCTGAGAGTTCATCCACCAAATCTGCCAACTTTCTCACATTATCCCAAGTTAACCACATAATTGAAGATGGAACCAATGAATGTCTGGAGTTAATAATACATCTCCAAGAACGCAATAGGTTTCATCTTCTTGTGGGTTGATTGCTGCAAAAATAGTTGGCTCCTTGACGAGATTGGTGTTTTATTTCCCTGTTTTCAACTACTACAAATGTAGAATGGATTCTGGAAATTCTTAATTTAACATACAAATGATCGCTACATCCTTAATCAATGGAGACGTCCAATTTAATAGTTAAAATAAAGTTATTAAACATTAGTCTTTTTCATTGTACGACACCTATTTTGCATAATGATTCTGAAAAAATAATGTGGTTTAGTTCATATTTCAAAGATGATAAAATTCATGACAGAGAAGCAATCTGTATATTCATTATTTGGCTTTTAAACATTTTCTTCTCTCGACGACCAATATTTTACGGCTTAGCAGTTTCCAGAAAGAGGCAGCTTATAATTATTAATTGTAATCAATTCTTTTTCAGGATTACAAATCTAACATTAATGTTTTATTTTACAAATTGCATATATTTTGATCAATATTGTGTTGCAGCAAAAACTAACTCCTGAAATTTCTACATCAAGCATAGTATGTGTTGCATTTACCTGTATTGGGCTAAAACCATCTAGAGCTGTAGTGACCATTTCCTTCCACACCCAAATTTACTACCTCCGCAATCACAGCTCCCTTTTCAGTCCAGTCGTCAATAACATGTAGTCATTAACTGAAAAGAAACCCAAATTTGGTGATCATTAAGAAAGTTCAGTATATCATAATTTGCAGTTAAACCAAATGGAATTATTATAAAACGTAGATATCTTCTCAATGTGCAAAGAGTTTAAGCCTGTGATAAAACTTAAAATAGTTATCAATTTTAGCATTGAAAATGAAGATTTTCCATGAAAAAATTAGACCTAAAAAATGACATTATATGGAAAAATGATCAATTAAATTTTAGGTCTAAAATTAGGATCAGATTAATGCTTAATGACCAGTGGTCTCTTGCAAATTCATTCTCATTCTCAACTCTCAAGTTATTTGCTTTCGGTGCCATCGGTAATTGCATCCTTAAAAAGTACTTACATTATTTCATAAAAGATCCTTGTTCGGAACAGTATTTGAGATTATTCACACATATATGCATAGTAAAAAGCAGTATAATTTTTTTTTTTTTTTTTTTTTTTCTTGGTAAAAACTGAAAAAAGAAAGAAGAAAATTCCTGGACTGTCCAATGAATGATTGACAGATTTGAAGATTTCTAATTCAACTTAAATGAATGATCTGTAAGACTTTCTCTTGTGAAAATGAAAATATATAGAGAGACATTTCAATTATAACAGAAAAGTTGACATCACTTGGTTCATACCTTAACACCATATCAAGTATCTTGGTTTTATCTTCATTTCTCCCGTAAATAGCAGGTTCTGTTGGCACACATGAACTGTCTGTTCTTCTCCATGTAGCATTTGATGCTCCTCCTCTGGCAATCTTTTCCAGCCCAAGCTCAGTTCTTCCATTTGGCTAGTGATACTACTCATCTTGGACCTCATGCTGATATTGAACTTCACAGCACTAGGAGACAACCCAGAGAAACAAGCAGGGATAAAGCTATGTACCTTGCTACTGCTAGCACGACCTTCAGACACCACCTTACGCCTTAAAGCTTCCGCTGCAAACTCATCCAGAAGGTCTTCCAAGTCCTGGAGATCATCCATCACATCTTCACAGCCTGGTCCATAAGTTGCTTCCCTTCCGCATCAATGAGCAGAGCATCAATAAACTTCAACTTCTTCTCCCACTTCTTCAGCTTCGAACGTATCCCCTCTTGGCTTGCAAACTGCAGCAACTCAGGGGAAGTCAATCTGTCAAACAACACTTAAAGGAACGCAGGGAGAAAGAGCTGCCCCACAGCCATTCTATTGTTTTGTCTGTCAAAAGAAGGTTTAACGTATCAGGATAGACACAGAAAAGAACAATGAAATCAAGAAAATAGACTTCGAGTTCTTTTTTATGGAAGCTCAACCAGTTTCACAAGTCAAAAGCCAATACTGTGTTTTGAATAAAATAATTAGTTCTCACAAAAATCACAAAAATATAACTATTACAAACGCAAAAAGAGGACTATTACAAAGAAAAAAAAAAAACCATCTTTGACGTTTTGTTTCTTGGAAAAACCGTGTGGACTCCACCATTTGCAATAACAAATTATAAACTATAATTGTTCATTTGAGAATTTCAGTAAAGCTTAACAATTTCGATGTTTTGGTTTCTTGGAATACTGCGTGGACTCCACCAAGTTACAATAAGAATGGCTGTTTAGTGTTTATTCCTAAAAAGCATGCGTCACTATAAAAACCGTGGCTTACCAGGTTCAATAATTTTTTTTTTTTTTTTTATCAGAAAGCTTGGCTTCACTACTTCTACCTACAATGTATTTCTCAAAAAGTACTCAATTTTCTTTCATTATTTTAATCAGCAGTAAACCTTACAAACAAAACTAATAAACTTTCACTGTAAAAAAAAAACTATCAGCAGTTCATTTTCTTTTTATTAGTATGAGCTTACAGAGACAACATTGGGCTTCTCTGAAGAAGATTTTTCTTTTTCTGACAAAGGCTCTTTGATGGTGTCCATCCATGAGCTTTGAGGCGGGGCGTTGTGATGATTGAACAGTGCCGCTGGATGCAATTATTTTGTGGTAAATGTAGCCAAGGATTTGTGAAGTTTCGAGCAGCATCGTGTCTGGTGTGCCGCCGCACACTTGGTTGGCCATCGCAACCGATTCAATGGTTTTTAAATTTAGAATTCAGAAACTAAATTTACACGAAATAGTAAAAAGCACTCTTCTGCTGTTTAAGATTTTTATACCGATTCACTATACATTCTGAGGTTCTGCAACAATACCTGTTCTTTTCATGATAACAAAATTTCCAATGACAAACTCAATGAAATCGGCAATCTTGTTGGATGGGATCCATGAGATATGAAAAATAACGATAAAATAAGATAGCTTGGCTATGACATGCCGACATCTATGACATAAAGAGAACACCAAACTTACATAGTTCGACAAAATCATGCCGACTTCCATAAAATAAGAGTTTCAGGTGAATAAAATTGGGGATTATATTACAAGTCTAATCCGTTCAAGTTTATACCCAAACCCCAAGTCCAACCAAGATCCCATGTACACCCTTTTACCACTCTCTCTCACTTTATGCACACAAATTTCAGAAAATTTTGACACTTATTTACTAACAATAGCTCAGAAATTACGACACTTTTTACCCATAAAATTCTGTAACATACCCCGTTCACCAGCTTATAAATAATGGAGGAAGAAGACGTGAACACACTGCCTTTGGTGATCAAGAAACTGTCTGAATCCAGCGCCTACATTGCTGCCCTGCAAGTACTGCACTTTTTCAGGTTTCACATGCCTCTTGTCATCGCAATATGTTCATGGTGTCGTGGTTAGGTCATGACCTGAGATTTGGTTGTTAGAAAGTGACGAACCTGGGATTGAAAGAGATAATTTTTCTGATCACTTTCTTCATATTGAGATCTAAAATAAGCTCAGATTCTACTCTAAATGTTCCTCCCCTGAATTGTAGAAACACCACTTGGTTGTTAGAAAGTGACGAAGCTGGGATTGAATGAGATAATTTTTCTGATCAATTTCTTCATATTGAGATCTAAAATAAGCTCAGATTCTACTCTTAAATGTTCCTCCCCTGAATTGTAGAAACACCACTTATCTGAATCATAGAAAAAATGAGCAAACTTAGTTCAAATTCTGCATCTAATATTCACTCACACAAAAATACTAAGCATAATATTATCTAATATCATCACAAAAGCCATTTCAAAATTAGAGTCAATATTCAAATACAAGGTATTAAATTCAAGATGATAATAAATGAATCTTCACAAAAATTTCCAAATTACCTGGACAAACTACTGCTTCGAGTGTCTTCTTGATGATCATCTGGCAAGATAAAATGATAATGATTTAGTACACTTAGAAATTAACGCAGAGGATAAAAAAAGTATTCTGCTCCCAATAAATTTTGGAATGGTTGAGGCGTAATTAGGAGAATAACAAACCTTGGATGCAATGAAATGATTGTCTGATTGAACGCTCTGAAATAAAAGCTCGGCTCGTTTTCCTTCTCTGAATGGTAGATGAATATGTCATCAACTTGAATGGTAGGGAATTGAGTAATCTTTGAATAGCATTTTCCTTTACCCTTTCTTCACTGTTCTTTTAGCAATGAACAATACTCAATCCTTTTGGTAAAGCTTGTAGAGACTTACAACAACTGATCTAAAGAGAATTCAAATTGCTAACAAAATTGATATCTGAAAAAGAAACAAGACTTGTACAATTTTTTTAGATAACTTTTTTAAGGGAGGTGAGGCCATTCAATCCTTCAAGTAAAGAATGTAAAGCCTTGCAATCACTAATCTGAAGAAAATTTACATTAGGAAGAAAATTGATCTCTGGAAACAGAACAAGCCTTGTAGAAGTTTCTGTAAATAACTTTGCCATGAATCCATGATCTCTTCACATTCGGCAATCTTTAAAAGTTCTACTCTTTGAGATCCTTGCTTTAATCAATTTCCAGCCTTCGAAATATTTAAAAGAGTCAAGATAATATTGCGGCTTGGAATCAGTAGAACTACTTTTGCCATTCACTCCCTCATAGTCATCAATTTCTAATTTGCAGCACATTGAGAAACTTGTGAATGAAGCAACCAAATTCCTACACTTCTTAATAACAAGTTTTTTCAATGAAATAAGATGGTCAGACAAACTTTTGATCATCTTGTAAGAAAAGTAGAGATACCTTAGATGTATCAAATCTCCAATTGAATGATAGGTAAATGTGTGATGTAGTATCTTTCTAAAGATACTACTCTTAACTTTTTGAACTCCAACAACAAATCAAAAAGTACTACATTGAGTCTAGTCCAAACATGTATAAGGACACATGGATGTGCAAGAATATTCTTAGACAAATACTTTCAAATATTTTTGGTAGCTTAGTATCCAATTTCTTAGACTTAAGTTCGATTTTGATGAAATCTGATTGAACTACATCATGTACAAGGTCATGCATTACATATTTAGAACCATTGCTCATTGATTTTTGAAAAAGTGATCTTGAACATAAATGATGAAAACACTCACCCGGCCAAATCCAGTCACATATATGATTGTTGAATTTTACCTTCTTCCATCCACAAGATGATAAGTTCATCCTCTTTGAATTCATAATCTTTAGGATATATTGCACAATAAGCAAAGCATCTCTTTTGGAAAAATGGCACAATGTGCAAAGCAACTTTCATATGTGAAGGAAGATGGTGATAACTTGACCTTAATGCTGAGAGGATGTCATTTCCATTAGCCCATTTTTTCTTTTTTAACATATTTCCTCCCGCATCGAAGACCCCCAAGGGTCTTTGGTACCAGGGGCAATTCTTTAGCACTTTTCAACAGCTCTCCTGAGAATCTGCATACCTTGTCTATGTAGTAGTCCATGTTCCAGATATCATCTAAGACAAACAAAAATCTAATTTTTCCCCTTCACTACCTCTCCCATTTTATCTTGCACATAATTTAAATTATCCGAAGAGAATTTTAAGGATCTTTTAATGACTAAAGAAGTACCTTCGAGATTGTGAGAACATCAAAGTTGTCAGAAACACAAACCCATGCTTTTTTCTCAACCTCGAAAACTTCCACAGCCTTGCGATCCCAATACAACTCTCGAACAATTTTCATCTTGCCAACTCCGCCCATACCAACCAAGGCTGTCAAATAAAATTTGACATAAACACCTTGCTCAGCTGAAGCACTTGGAACTTTGCCACAGTGTTTCCTTGAGGCACCGATTGTTGTCCCTCCAGAAATACCTTCCAGTTCACGTTCAACTGATCTTCGCCGGCGCCGCGGCTCCAACCGGTTACTCATCTCTTTGATCTTGGACCCAATTTGAACATCAAACCTGGCGCTATGGAACGAAGCCCCGCCGTCCTTTTTCAGTTGATTCTCTTCAGCTACTCTGAGCAGAAATCCAACCATCTTCAACTCTGTGTTCAGCTTTTCAAGCTGTGAATCCACTCCTCTCACAAGTTGTAGCGCAAAATCCCGCAATTCCCAGGACCCAAGAATCTTAAACAACCCGTTAAAGAGTTGAGAGGCGTCGGCCGCCTCTTCTGCAACTTCTTCCATGGGTTCAGCAGTTGGAAAGGATAAAGGATATTAGGGTTTCAAGAAAGAAGAGAAGAAAGACAAAGTGGGTTAGGACTTTTGTGTAAGATTCCACAAAATGGACGAGAATTTATTAAAGAAAAGTACGCGCTTTATGAGCTGTATTGCATTTTGTCTGATGCTTTGTTTGGAAGTTACCAGGAATTTTCTTTATCAAATAATTGAAATTGATCTTTTTGAAATGTTTTGTAAATGTCTAAAATACCCTTAATATGTTAATTTTTATTTTCCTATAATTAATTGTTCTAATTTTTTACCAGATGTATCAGTTAGTAGCCGTTTATTTTTTATTTTTATAATTCTATTAATTTTTATTTCTATTTACATAAGAAAATATCAGTGGTATTTTAGACCTTACGAAGACCTAAGTATTATTATTAGATTCTATTGGACTATCGCTATTTAGGCAAAACCTCAATGACCAAAATGGATTTAACTCTAAAAATTTAAATAAAAAAGTCTCATTGAGATTTACAACATGATAAGTAAATAAATATTTACTTAATTGTCACTTTGTTGTTTATTTTAACACCAAAAAAATAATGATAGGGTAATTTTTTTAATTTCTTTAGCGGAGAAATTTGATTATTTGATTACACCTAGGGGTGTTTTCGTTATTAACCCCCTTAAAAATTTAAAATTATCATTAAGAAATCATTTTGTTAATAGATTATCTTAATAAATTATAAATTAATATATAATTAAAAACTTAAAAGATATTAATTTCTTTTCCAAAATTTCCACCAAGGTTGGAGCCCACCTATGTTAATGGGCTTGTATTTAGGCTTTACTTTAAACAACACACTTCTAACTGAGTTCACCAAAGTTTAGCCCAATCCTTAACAAGCCTAATATTTTTTTAGAGTTAAATCTATTTTGGTCCTTGAGGTATGACCTTTTACAAGGTCCAGTAGAATCTGATAGTAACACTTACGCCCTTATAAATTAGAAGTTTTTCAAATTTTTGTAGAAGTCTAAAATACTCCTAATCTTTTCTTGTGTAAATGAAATTAAAAATTGTAGAATTATATATAAAAAAAAAAATGGCTGCTAACAGAAAATTCTGGTAAAAATTTAGAACAATTTCCTTTTATTTATAAGAAAAAAGTTAACAAATTAAGCGTATTTTAGATTTTTATAAAAGACTTCAAAAATTTGATTCTAATAAGGACCTCAATGTTACTATCATATTTTATTGGACCTTATTAGGCCATACCTTAGGGGCCAAATGTTTAACTCCAACATTATCTTTTGGTCTTGTTGGTTTATGAACTCATTTCCAGTTTTTCATTTTTGTCTTTCTTGTAAAATGTGAGATAGGTATTCTTATATGAATTTTCTATTTTTATTTTCACAAAATAAATAACTTAAGAGAAAGAAATAAAAATCCCAATAAAAATTTAAAATTTTCTTGTTATCTTCTGTTGATGTGTGTTTAGACAATAACTACCTCTACCTACACATGCAAAGTGTTAAGTTGTTCTTAGAAATTATACGTGGATGATTACAATCAGATGCAAAGACTGAATAATAAATGAGAGGTATGATTTTTAAAGTAGTTCTGATGTTTAAAAGGAATCCTACATCCACTGTATCTTTTATATATGAGAGATTACAAAAGATTATGTATAGTGAACAGCGAATAGAGATACAATAACTGAGTATTTAGAGATAATATCAAGCTAGTCTCTTTCTCGTAGGTTATCTTTGCTCTGAAAATAAAGATTACAATCAGAATGAGAGTTTAGTATCAGAATCCCGAAAATGAGAGGGGGAGACCTCTATTTATGGTAGAGGAATTCAAGATAATGAGTACAAATCTACAAATGGGTAGGTGTCGTGCAAGTCCTTCCTTACCTCCCATTGGCTGATAACTTAGGAAATATCCTCAAATTATCTAGGGCTTGGATAAGTGTGCGGTCTTCAATCACTCATAGACAAAACTTGAATCTGTTAAGTTGATGACAACCATATTTTTTCTGTTATAAAACAACGTGACTCCTGGACGGTGTAAAACCTTCGTGAACTTTGATTAGTATTTGCTGACGTAGGCTAACATTAGCCCTACTTTTTTAGACATACCATCTTCTCTCTCCTATCTCATCGTAAAGCAATCTCTTCGAGAAAAATAAAATAAGTAGCAATTTTAAATAGTTTTATCGATTGTGTATGTTATAAATTTTGATTTTTTTCATTCTTTCCTTTGTGCTTTCAAACAATCATATCAAACGTGTTTTCATTTTCATATTATAAAATATTATTTCCTAAAAGAAATGATGAAAGCGTTTTTTTTTTTTTTTTTTTTCACCTTTTCCAATCATTTTCAATTGAAAACAAAAAACGGATTCACATTCTTCATAAAAGATTACACCTTTTGTTTCTTATGAAATTCCAACAAGAACATGGGCATAACAAAACTAGCCAAAAAAAGGAAAAAAAGAAGTTTATCTTATTCATTATCGATGCATCAAGTAGTTTGGTGGTCGATGCTTATTAATCTAAAGTAATCGAGGAAGCATTCATGATCAGCGCAGTTGATTCATTAGCACGGTGAGCCGGCAACACAGAGCCACTGGCCAACGAAGAGAGCCTCGCAGTTAAGATTAGGGTTGATCGAATCGAAGACCTCGGTGGTCAGGTTGAATAGCTGTGCAATCCCAAAGCAAGTGTCTCCGCTTTCAACACCGAACACTGATTCGCATTCTAGGCTGCATCTAGGCTTCCTTGCTTTCAAGACGCGAGCCCCTGCTCATCATTTCAATTCAAAAATCATGTTAAAAGAATGATATGATCATTTCAAAATTGTAATTCATTATTGTTTTGAGTGTTTCTGTTTTCAAAATATAAAAAAAATAAGAAATTTGATTTTGTATTTTCGAAATTTGAAAATGAAAACATGTTTATTATTGTGTTTTTAGGATAAATATTAAATGTTAGGATAAGTAGAGAATTGAAATATACAATTCTCTCATGCATATATGTCTACATTTTATAATTTATTTACATACAAACTATATAAATTTAGACTATATATCAATGTAAAGATGAATAATTATAAGTAACAGATTATTTTAATTTAGGTAATTCCTTACATATATATAGTTTCAAGTCATAATAATTAATTTTATAAATACACTAGCTAGTATCCATACGAAATAAGAATCATATGCAATATATATGTATGTATACGAAAATTCACAGGTGCAAACATTTTAATTTTTAACGTAACCATGTAATCAGGAATGGACACCCAGAAATAAAAAATAAAACTAGAAAAGAATTAATAAATAACTCATTATGTGTATATACAAAACACTTATGTATACAATAGTGATTAAAACTAGAATCATGAAATTCAATTATAGGAGCATCTTAATTATATTTAATTAATAAAATAA